CTTGTCAGGTCGCTGGGCTATTGGACAGCCCCTGTGGAAGCAGAGTTTTTTGGGGTTTTTTTTTTTTTTTTTTTGCTTGTTTGGTTTGACTTTTTTTTTCCTCCTCTGCATCTCATAAGGGAAACAAATGGACCTCAAGCAGCACTCAGCAGATGTGACACTGGTGGCTTTATTATGAGAAATGGCTAGAAAGTGGCACAGGACCCAAATGTGACACAGTCACAGCTTTGCTGCCTGAACCTCTGCATTTGAAGGACAGCAAACATTAAAAAAAATATTACAGATCATTTTTTCCAGGATCAAGGTAAAAGTAAATATGAGGAGCTCACCTCAGACCTCGGTCTAAGCTGTGGCATGACTTTGAAGGTTTTGTGTTTAGTGTTTGTAGTCCATGGGTCATGCAGGTCTGCTTGGATAAAGTGCTGCTTTTGGGATGCATGCAGTGTCGAACATTAACAGGCTGATTAATGCCTGTGAGCACAGGCAGTAATACTCTCTCAATCCCAATTTCACTTTAGAGGATTTTCAGAGGGGCATTCTGTAATTCCCTGCTCATTTAAATGTTGGGGTAAATTAGGAATGCCAGATGAATTTTTGCTTTTGCACATGTTTCTCACAATGGTTCTCACATTGAGTAATTTTGTGTTGTGCTGTTAAAAATGCTGCAGGAACTGGTGATTTGGATTTAAGAAAATGCATCAGAACAGTGCCATAAAAATGCTGTCTGCTCACATCATTGCTTAAAAGCTGGAACTCAGTTAAACACAGTATTGGGAAGGTTACTTTTAAAATGTATTCCACTACAGATTACAGATTACATGCCCCAAAATGTATTTTGTAACGTGTTACGTTACGTTACTCAATGAGAGTAACGTATTCTGAATACTTTGGATTATTTAATATATTATCATGCTGTTTACAACTACATGAATGTGATTTATTACTATTACTGAAGTTCCGCGGGTCTGAACCGTAGTAAAGGACCTCTGACTAATACGTCGGTTCCGTGTTGGGCTCGTAGCCGAAAAATAGCTTTACTTTGTTGTCTGGGTCAACTTTGCTTGCCAGAGACAGAGAGAGGCGTTGAAAGGCTGCTCCAACGGAACTTATTGTTTCGGAGGAAAACATGAACACAGCGTACAGTCGAGTCTTAATAGCTTACTTACAACTGGGCTCGTCAGGCACTCTTCTTGACTGCAGTGGTTATTATTATATTATTATATTATTATAGACACTTTACCCTACTTGCCTACTGGTGTTGGCCAGAGGGGCCGATGGCGCGATATGGCAGCCTTGCTTCTGTCAGTCTGCCCCGGGGCAGCTGTGGCTACAACTGTAGCTGCCTCCACCAGTGTGTGAATGTGAGAGTCCTGACCCGCCACAATATGAAACAGGAAAGTACTGCTGTGTAATCCATTTATTTCAACAAAGTAACTGTACTCTAAATACCACCTTTTTAAACAGTAACTGTAACGGAATACAGTTACTCATATTTTGTATTTTAAATACGTAACGGGGGTACATGTATTCCGTTACTCCCCAACACTGGTTACACAGCAATAACTCTGTGCATTTAGGCATGTAGATATGGTCAGCACAACCTGCTGACCTTTTGCTGGTGCCACACAGGCTGGGCTGAGTATTTCAGAAACTGCTGATCTACTGAAAAGGGGAAAATATCCAGTGATCGTCAGTTTTCTGGTGGAAGAAAATGACTTGTTAATGCCAGAGGTCAGAGGAGAATGGCCAGATTGATTTGTGCTGATAGGAAGGCAACAATAACCACTCTTTACAACCAGGGCATACAAAAGTGCATATCTGAATGCAAAGTATGTTAAACCATGAAGCAGATGGACTGAAGCCTCAGACGACTACACCAAGTGCCACTCCCCATGTCTACAATTTGTACAGGCTTATCAAAATTGACAATAGAAGATTGGACAAGTGGTTAAACAATAAATAGGAAGCAACAAACAAACATGCATGGATCCATGCGTCAGTGGTTCAGACTACTGCTGGAGGTGTGATGGTGTGGTGAATATTTTCTTGGCACTCTTTGGTCTCCTTAGCACCACTTTAACATTATAAGCCTACCTAAGTACTGTTGCTGACCATGTCCATCATTTATGACCACAGCGTGCCCATCTTCTGATGACTGCTTCCAGCAGGACTTGAGCTTTGTGTCCTGTGCCCCAAAGCTCAAATTTGCTGAAACTGGTTTCTTTAGCATGACGATGAGTAACCAAAGGCCTCCACAGTCACCAGTTTTCAATCCAACAGAGCACCTTTGGAATCTCTGCGTAGAGTCCTGTTAAAGTTTTCTTTTACATATGAAAGTATACTGCCACTGGGACACACTATTTTAGAGAGATTTATTTCATTGCTTGTTTCACCAAACAGTATTATGCATTGGTTGAAACTCGTGGTGCTACAGTATAGTATGTCTGGTTGCTACTGCAGTCCAGACTGCAGTCTTATCCACAGAAGACCTGGGTCATTATGAAGCAAAGAAATATGATAAGAGGAAAACTGAACCTGCTGATATCCTGATACAGCAAATGGCCTATAATTTAAAAAGAAGAGCTAATACAGTTATGCAGCAAAGTGAGCTTAATTAAAATATTTTTTTAAAAATCTCAGTTTTGTCTTTGTATTCTTTTCATTAATTTATTATTGTAAATATAGCATTGCATTCTGTTTTTGTTTTCATTTTACACTTTTTTGTATTTTTGGAAACAAAGCTTGGCCACAAGAGCATCAGCGAGTTTCAACACAGATGCTTGCCAGTACAGAGTGGCTCACAGAGACCATTCTTTCCAAACATGTCGAATGGAGATGAGGTGAGAAAAACACCAAACTAGGAGAACTCACTGCTGTGTAAAATGCCATATCATGTCTCAACTAAATCCAGGGGGGAAATGCACTGATATGTGTGATTAATTGCAGGCGCTGGGGATCACAGATAATAATCTCTCTTTCATTTCTCAGTTCTTAAAACTATACTTTTCATGCAATTGCTGGGGGACAAAATCAGGCTTTAATTAAATTGGGAAACCTGTTCTACAAAATATATTTTCAAACTGATCACAGTTCTCGGGAATGCATGAACTCGGACTTGAAATCCGAGTCTTTAAATGCCGAGAATGTGTTTGCGCGTCTGTTTAGACCGTGTCACTACAAATGACGGCACCGCCTTCTCCGCACCTGACGCTTTCTCCACTAAACACTCACCGAGACTTGTGGCTATTCATCATCTTGTCAGCACCAGTAGATATCCATCATCCACTTTCACTGTGTGTCTGTAGCTCTCGCTTCCTTTCACGCGCACGCGCACAGGGCATGAGGGTAGTGAGGAGGGCCCTTCAGGCTGACACATTAACAGGGCTCCTGGGAGATTGCATGGGTATGTGTGAAGGATGAGTCGGCTAACCATCTCTGTACTGGTGTTTTCATTTCCTCTAGCCAAAGTGCTGCCTGTTTTTTTTTTTGTTTTTTTTTTCTATATTCTAACAGGAAATAGTGGAAAGTGAATAAAATGCTGATGCCGGTGAACGGTCTACATTAGGCCTGAGTGCGCCACTAAAGCTTGGCAGGGTCTGGGTGCACCTTTATTCATTTTTCATGTTTTAATTTTAGCATAAAATATACTCTGCATCAGATGCCTTGGAGTTGGGCTAATTTGTGATTATGTTCTCTGGGAAAGCAACTGGAGCAAGTAGGGTTCAGAATGAAAAAAGGAAGAGTGTCTAACAAAGATAATGAGCTCATGAATATTCTGCAGTAGGACTTTATTTACTCATCTCTACATTGAACTGTAAACAGTATTTAGAAGTGTTTTGTTATCTGCAGTATGTTTTCCTTTTTCATGCGCATAAATTAAAAAAAAGGGAATGTAATTTAAGGGAATCTGTTGAAGTCAAGTTATTCTCGAATATAAGTGAGTTCCGGGAAGTTTTTACTGACACAAGATTGATTCAGTTGGAAGGACCAGAGTCATGGCTTCATCACAAAAACGTCTGACTGAATTATGCAAAGCACCGTCTATAAAAGATTCTTTCTTTTTTTTGGAGGAAGTTCTGCAGGATAAATGAAGTTTAAAATGAGCTGTCTGGTCACAATCCCCAAAGGAGTGTTTGGGCAGTAAAAAGGTGCAGCATTTGATGAACACAGCCCCTCGCCAACTGTTAAGCAGCAGGGCGTAAATATTATGCTATGGAGTGTGTGGCTGCCAGTGGCGCAGGAAATATTACAGGTCTGGAATGAAGATGGATTCCACTAAGTTCATTCGAGAAAGTAAAAATGGAAATAAACTGTCTTCTTCTGGGCCGAAACTTACTTAAAAGTCCATCAAGTCCATTAGAAATCTTGCAGCGCGAAGACACCAGCAGTGACGGCAACAAGCTCTCGGCGCACATCCACATGAGGTAAAGAGACCTCACACAGAAATTCTTCAAACCGAAAGTATTATAGAAGTACTGACTGAGAAAGGTACCCAGATAATCTGTGCGTGTGTGTGTCATCATGTGAGGCATTTTTTAGTATTTTGGAAGATGTTTGTATGTTGTTCCCCAAATAGAAAATTTACAGGTCTCTCTCTCTCTCTCTCTCTCTCTCTCTCTCTCTCTCTCTCTGTCTCTCTCTCTCTTTCTCTCTCTCTGTGCGTATGTATGTGTGTGTGTAAATGCATGTTAATAATGTGTCAAACGTGTTGTTATATTCCTTAAAAGGCTTTTTTTTTAGACAAGTAGAGAAGCAAATGACAGTTAAAAAAAGAAAGACACTGACTCTTTTGTCTATTTAAGATTTTAATGTGAATTTCTTCAGTTTTACTCCTAATTTAAAATCAGCTTAGATTTGGCACACGGTATTTCAAAAATATTCGTGATATTTAAAAATGTAACAAAACATATAATAAAGGAATATTTAATTTATATATATATATATTTTTTTATTATCTTATTATTATTTATTTTTTAGTCCGTGACGCCGGTGAGGTTGTTTTCCCACAATGCACAGCGAAACAGCCACGTAAACGTAAACCATCGTAGCATCAGCGCTGCCTGCGGCTTGCCTAGCTGCCTCAGCTTCCTGTATAGCTACACCTTCCAGATGTGCAGATGATGATGCAGGACGCATTTCCCAGGTATTATATTATTGCTCTGGGTTGCGGATGTGCTAACTAACTAGCTGTTAATCGCCGCGCTGATTAAACTAAGGTTGAAGTTCAATGCTGTTGGTGAACACGCTAATAGTTAGCTGCTAACCTTTGCTAGCTTGTTAAACTGTCCTGTAGATTGTAAAGTCTTGTTTCCACACAAGATAAATTGATCGTTAACACCACCGGTAAACGTTAAAAGCAACGTGTAACGCCAGGTAATCTACCAGTTTATTGTTCGCACATGTAAACATAGCCAACCCTTAGCTAATGAAACACTGCTCTTAAAGTTGGGATTAAAGTAGCCGAAAGGTGAGACAGTTTGCCTCCGCAATCTAGTGTCGCTGCCTATTTTTTTTTTTTAAGTTAATCCAGGACTTAACGTTGTACTCGCGCCTTTTATTTGAGTTGTCTTGAAGTTCTGAGTTGTCTCGCTTTTTTCTCTGGGTGCAGTGAAAGCACCTAAAGCCTCAAATCGACTCCTCATAACCTTCATTCAGTCCGTGGAGCTGTCCATGGTTCTCACATGATGTTTATTGATTACAGAAAATTTACGTGAAGGCCATAGTTGAGTAGAAGAAACCTTTAGTAATCTGCAAGTTAAAAGTGAAACATCCAACAACACCACAGATACAGGCCATTTAAAAACTTTCTGTGTGCAACAACAGAAAATAAAACAAGAGTATTCAAATAGTTTAAAAATTGCCTCCACCTCATTCATGATTTTAGTTGTTTGACAGGAAATTAGAAATTTTGCCTTGTCTGACATTGGTCCTTACCAGTTCCATATTAATTTAAAATTTAATAAGCATCTAGCTTGAGCCCACTTATGGTAAAATTTCATGCAACCTTTTTGAGTAAGTTTCCCAACAAGCAGACAAACTTGACCAATTACAGTGGAGTGAATTAAATGAGTGCACTTTCAAGCAGTACCGTAGATAGAGGAAGAAAAATGTGCCTTTTGTTTAGAAAGCCAGTGACTAATGAGACAACATTTCACCAGTCTAGTGGTTTAAGTCTTTCTACAGGGTGCTGAATGTGCATCCAGAGTGAAATTCCCAGTAAATGCTATAGTTTTATCTCAGTTTCCAGTGAGGCATCAGAAAGGCAGCCAAGCTCAGTCAGATTTCTGCCAACAATCTTCGTCCATAGTTTGACTCTCTCCATGGTTTGTTTTTGTTAATCAAGGTAAAGTAACGAAACTGGCAGATGTATTGCAAAGGATATGAAAATGTATAATTAACCATTTCCTAAATCTTCAGTGCTGGTGCAAGATCACCAAAGGCCCCAAAATCAATTAGAATACGCTCTAAATGAGATTTTTATTAAGTAACTTAACACATAATGAAACTTGCTTTATGCTTTTAGCAAGTCATGTTTGGTAGTGATTGAATTTGGTAACAAACGGACTGCAAACGAATAAACATTTCATCTTGAGGTGCTGCTTTAATTTAGAAAAAAATGTCTGTTTATAATCTTCCGTGTGTTGTATTTTGACATTTTTTGGCA